CCATCCTTACAATGTGGCACCTATAAACTTGACTGGGTGGATTACTTCTAGAAGCCAGGGGCAGCTTTAGTCACGATCTAAAGATGAAAGAGTTTCCCAGCGATCCATTTCTCCTCTAGCCCTGTCTTATCCATCTCCTTTTGTAGTTTACATTGCTTTAGTTTATCTCTCATTCCATTTTACCTCTGCTGCAGCTCTCTCAGCAACAGCTGTCAACCTCGATGCTTCTCCATTTGAAGACAAACTGTGACGCAGTGAACTACTTCATAGGTCTCTTTTAGCCAGTCTTTGTAAACTAAAAGACTTTTTCCAGAAAGGTCTGGATAAGAAAAGGTGGGAGAAGATGCTGATGGATTATAAGATTCAGGTATGAGAGACTGTTAACAGGGCTAATTGAGAATGGTCCACTTTACCATCCTTCTGGGTATAAAATGAGCTATCTCTGAAGCAGAGGGGGGAATCTCACTACCATCAAAGAGTTAGAACAAGGAATACACCACATCCTTTGGACCCAGTGAAACCCAAGCACTGAACTTCCTTGACGCAGACACAAGAGGAGTGGTACAAGAGCAGCAACAGAACCAAGAACCGGAACAGGAGGTAGAGTGGTGGGCTTCCTGACCTATGGAGCAAGTAAAGCTTCGTGCCTTTTGGCAGGTGGTCCATTTGCAGAATGTGATGTCTCCAGGCACTTAATTGGGAAGCTGTTTGCTGATCACAGAGCTTGAGCTGGGAGCCTTTGAGCTGAATCTTATAGCTGAGTAAAGTGTCCACTGAGCATTTATTAATCTTGTACTATTGTCTGAGCAGAAAGAGGCCTGCCTGGGGGCACAGCTGAGGAGAGTCTGTCCTGAGTGGAAGAAGTGTGCCCTGAGCATTTGTGGCCCTGAATTGTAACTGGTTCGCTTCCCTAATACATCCTGCATCTATGAGTATGACATCTGAGTTTTGGGTAGCCATTGCAATGAATCATCAAACCCAGCTGAGCAGAGCGTGCTGGGAGGGATGGTTGGTGTCATTTGTTTTTTCACAAGCTGACCTCAAGCATTAGAGGTTAAGGATCTTTGTGCAAACTAACTGGATGCAAACCTTCAAGTGTTCCAGGATCATGAAAGACAAGAGAGAAAGGGTCACAAATTGGTGGAGATAAAAGAGAAAGAAAAATGAAATGTAGGATTATGGGTAGCATCTTGGATTAGAAAAAGGGCATTAGTGGGACAACTGGAGAAACCCTAAAAAGACCTATAGGTTAGTGAGTAGGACTGGATCACTGACAACTTACTGGTTTTGGTGATTTTTCTATAGTTACCTATAAGGAGTCCTGGTGTAGCTTTGTGGGTTAATGCGCTGTACTGCAAAGTCTGTTGGAACTGCAAGGTCGGTGGTTCAAGCTCACCAGCTACTCGTTAGAAACTCTACACAGGGTAACTATGGGCCGGAATTAACTCAACAACAACAATGCATAAAGAGCTTTGGTAGCATTAGTGGTTATAAGTCAGGCTGTTAAGCTCAGGGTCAGCAGTTTGAAACTACCAGCCATTTCGCAGGAGAAAGATGAGGCTTTCTGCTTTCATAAAGGTTTACAGCTTGGGAAATCCTATACAAGGTCACTATGAGTTGGAACGCAGTCCACACCACATCACCACCACACCACCGCTATGGTTATGTATAATTTAATACTAAGAGGGGCTCCATAAAGAATATACAGGAGCTCTATACTAGTTTTACAACTTTTCCTTAAATGTAAAAATGTTTCAAAATGAAAAGTTAAGATATATTTAAAGGCAATTGTTTAAAACATTATTATAAAAAGACATCTGTCCTAATGAACTGTTAAAAGAGATATCACGATGACATGGCATTACTAAGTTAAGCTTACTGCAGTAAGGCCATCAGACAGGTTAATGAAAAGTCAATTCCAAGATGTAGGAAATCCACTTTAAGTTTGTAAATCCACTCAGAGAGTACGATGCCACTACAGACACACATCATGTCTTTGTGAGTAATCATATTTTTAGGTAACTATACCTATCGAATTAATATTACTAGATAATACACTAAAACAACAGCTCCGCTATGATCAACTTTTTACAGAAAATAGACAAGAAAGGACAGAAGGAGATGCAAAGAAATACACGTCCCGATATGCACCCACCTCCAGCACCTTCTCTTGACCTTAATGACTGAGAAAGGAGCCTGGGACAATAGCTCTGAATAAAGCCCCTTGTAACAGAGGGGACTGCTCTGCTACTGCATGCATTTCTGCAACATGAATTAGCTCACAGTCAGTTGGTAGATAAAGAGGAGTTTTTTATAATGCAGATGCTACATTGGTTCACATGTGATTTTTCACAGATCATTAATGTTTGCCTTATAAATAACAGCAACTTAAGGCCACATAAACTAACAGCAGCAAGCCAGGGGGGAAAAATCAGTAGTATACTACATTCAAGCCTTCTTTCAGAAGTGTTTAAATACAAGTAACTAAAATAATGACCTTTATTTTTTATGTACCAGCATACAACAATGGAATCAGTACATTTTGTACAAAGCTTGTACAAAGTTTTTCTGTACCTGCAGTTCCTGATGATGGTTGCCTGGGGGCCTGGCCCTCCCTCAGCAGCCTCAACCCTTCCTGGCATCATCCTTCTTCAAGCCACAGTCACCTTCTTGGTTTTAAAGCAAAATGCTGCATTTCTAATATTTATTTATTAGAAAACTGACATCTTTTAAGCTGTGCTAGTATTTTTAATGAATTATTACAGTTTTCATTAATATTTGGTTGCAAAGTTGCGTAAGTCCTACTAATTTTAGAATGGATTTACGAACTGCAAAAGTTTCCCTAAAATGCATACATGCTATTTTCATAAAAATGCTGTTCTAATGAAGTAAAGTATCTATGTCAAAAGCATACTGATGCACTTTATAAGAAAAGTAAATATTCACTGTGGTTTTGCATGAATTAAATGTATATCATGAACATTAACCAAACCACAAAAATAAAAATGAAGAATATTTTTTAGTGTCAGACTTGTTTTTTCATCTTCAAAAAAAGCTACAATTGTCCTTCAATGATTATTTGGTGTTAGATAATATGATGTTTGTCACTGTTATTTTATTTAAATGATCTACTACCAACAAGTGTAATGAAAGAAAATTTGTTATTTGTACATGACAGGAATTTGTTGTTGTTAACTGCCATCAAGTCGGTTCCGACTCATAGCAACTCTGTAGAGGGTTTCTGAGGGGCTACTGGTAAATTTGAACCACCAACCTTGTGATTCAAGCCAACTTTGCAGACCAGTGCTTATCCTACAGTGCTAAACCAGGCCTCCACAAGACAGGGGCAGAGTACATTATTGATTTACTAAAGATACAATTCAATCGAATTCTCCATATTGTATTATATAAATTCCCATTTCTAACAAACCTTTTAAAAAATTATTTTATATAATATCAGTTATGCTAGCATTTGCATAAATTAATACTTCTTTTTTCTTAACAAGGCACACTAGGATACTTTTATGGACCCATGCAATCCTGAGTTTCAAGGAGCTTATATATTATATATACTAATATATATAATATATTTTTCAATTATTCAAATTCCCTTGCTTAGAGATAGTCAACATGCTTCTTTCTTATGCACACAGATACAAATACTGTACAATTGTCTGCTTATCGTGTGACCTCTTCCACTTGAGTGGGTATCCTCTCGATCACCAACTAAGTGAGGATGTAACCTTGTCAAACCAAAGGCCAAAGAATAATGAGCGCACAACAGGCTAACCCAGCATGGAAAGGTTGTTAAGGAGGTTGCAAAACCAGTACACTGAATGACAAAATAAAAGTCTACTCCAAAGAGTAGGCTAATATTAAAGAAAGCACTCAAGAACCAGCAAAGCATGTAATCCTCATCCTTGGATATCTGCCATACAAAATTCCATTCAAATTTTATTTCTCCCCCTAAGTTATTTAACCAGGATTGTTTTCAAGCAAATCCTAGGAGGACAGCCTGGAAGGAAATACATTAATACGTATTTATTTTCACAACGTACTAGTCAATGTATCGCTTTTACCAAGCAATTGACAACCAACCCAATTTAAGAATTAGAAACATAAACTTGAAAATGTACTGATCAAACAGTAGGCTTTTACTATGGCTGAGACAAATAAATGGCAGTGAAACTGCCACATGAACTGCTGCCTCTACTAAATGGCAGAACAAGGAAGCAAATTAAAATATTTTCATAAGTAGCTGAAACGAAAATAAATTAGGCAAATTTCTGTTGCAGTCTTCTAAGTATGAATTTACTTCTAAAACAAAACAAAATAGAATATCTCAGGCCCAAACCACTCAAGCATGCACTGTACTAGGACCATGTATTACATCACTGTATCAGTTATGCACACTTTGAAATTCCCTTTTTACATAAACGACCAGAATAACATTTCAGTTCCTCACCAGTCTCAACATTGTAACAGAGAAACAGTGCCATCTTTTGGCCCCAAACAAAAGCCTCCATTCCACTCGTCTTCCAAATTGCATTTTTCAGCACAATTCCTGATATACAGAAATATCTTTAATTTCATCTCATAATCGCTGTCATCTAGAAATATTTGATAGTGACACAAACTAAGAAAATGTATGGGTAACATAAAAGTTGATACCAGAACACAAAATTTCAAAAAGCATCGAAAATAATACTAAGTGCATGTATTTTTTAGATCATCACTGCAATCATTTCTAATCTCTATTACACTGAACACATTTTTACAAATTTAAAAATGCCAAGCAACTGATAGGTATTTAAGTATATAAGAAAATACCTTTCACTTCTTATAACACTGTCATATGTCAGAACTGATTTTTTAAAACACCATATTTAAAATATTCCCAGTCGTTTAACAATTGGCAATATCATGTTAACAGCACACCTACCAGGCAAACCAATATAAATACCTTTATATACAACATAGAAAGTTTCTGGTTTACTTACACCAATGATACAATGTCACCACGCTGTACTTCAAAATTCCTAACTTTCCAGTGGTTCAGAAGCACTACATCAGATGACTGGCTTCCCCCAGGATTCAAAGAAGGCTATAAAATAAGGATAAAGAGACATATCTATCATTTACATTTTTTCCATCTTCACAGTTTCTTGTACTTCATAACTCTAGTGGAACACAATAAAACATTTCTAACATAGTGCCTTTCAATAAATTGCTATTCTAAAGTAACTCCAAATGATGAGTTTTCAAAAAAGATCATTGGGATGCTTCACAGATGAACCTGAAAAAAAAAAAGATCAATGCTTGAAAGGAACACATGTTAGATATTCACATCTTTGGCAAACTCCAGTAAAAAGGTATTAAAAGTTTGTTGTTAGTGTTGTTGGCCATCATGGTTCTGACTCATAGCAACCCTACATAGGGTTTTCAAGGTTGTAGGTCTTTGTGGGAACAGAGAATTCACCTTTCCCCCATGGAACGTGTGTTGGGTTTGAACTGATGACTTTGTGGTTATCAGTTCTTATCCTACAGCACCACCAGCATCCCTATGGAAAGTTTTAAGATTTAAAAACTATAAAGAATAAATGAGTCAAATCTCCCAACAGTTTATCCAGGTACCATCTGATTTCACAGAGGTACACATCAGGAAACCTGAGAATAATGGGGATTCCCCACCTTGAGCTCTCTATTCATAAGTGAGCATGCACCAAGGGTCCTGGTGCCAATGTGAGCTAGGAAGTATACTTCACCTTAGGATTTAGGCAAGTCTAGATATTCCTAAAGATGAAGGGGCAATAGATGAGGAATATTTGGGGTAAAAATCATCTATGGGTAAGAAACCACTTAAGCACAAAAACTTGGTTGGCACACTATACCTGTCACTTGGATAGTCAAAGACCACAGAAACAGGTCTCAAACCAGAGATGAGGATGGTAGGTAGAGTTATTTTTAAATGCCATGGAGTTTTTTCACTATAAAATCTACAATACCTCAGAGAACAAAAGCAGAAGCAACTCCAATGTCATGACAGGAAACAGCCATTTTTTCTGATGATGGAAAAGATAACCAAACAACAACTGGTGCTCTCAACCATCACTGATGGGCTGATAGTGGCAGCAAGAGATCTAACCACAGCAAGCCAGGGTAGAAGCTAGGAAAACAGCAGATGCCATCCATAGTCCTTGGATCTGTTTTCCAATTGCTCTGCATCCAGACCCAAGCTACCTCTACAGTATCAGGTCACATTATAGAATTCATTTGCTTGACCCCTACTTAGTACTCAGTCTAAATCACCCCCATCCTCTGGTTTTTCAGGGCAAGTATATTTTCAAAATCCCTAGAATGACTTCTTCTTCTCCGTCTCACCTGCCAAAATTCTATGAATCAAAGCCCAATTTATATGTCACCCTAGCATATTAGTAGCAACAATGGTAATAATATAACTGTGCTGGATGTATACATAAATTTACTGCTTTAAAAAAAAAACACTTTAAGAAACATGTTTCTGTCTCTTAACTGCCATACTTTATCCTATAATACTAATACACTACACTTGTTATTAGGACTGTTAACTCCAGAAACATACAACCTTATCTTGTCCTGTCTTTGATAATCTGTTTTTTCCTCTTCTTTCTTCTTCTAGTTGAACTCTGATCATCCAGTCATTGAAGCCAGGACAAGTGGGTATTATCTGCAAGTGTGGGTGTTCTTGTGCATATGCCCTCTCTTCTTATCAGCTGAATGTTTCACTCTCCACTCTAGTCCTCTGTGGCTATGTCACTGGCTCTGGGCCCAAGAGTCCCCAGGTCTTGCCACACTGCTGGCCAACCAGGTCTCCACCCGGGCTCACAGGAGTCTACTGAATGTTGTAGGGCTTAGCTCACAGCTTCATTGCTGTTTGTTCCTCACTTCCCCTTATCGGTGATGAATATGGTCACCAATCAGAGTGTGTATTCCCATTGAGTCTTAGTCTCGGAAGGGGGGTTGCTCTGAGGGGACCTGACCACTTGCCTTTGTGTCTCCTGGGTGAGCAACTTGCTTGTTCTTGTAGTAATCAGTTGGTCTGCCTATATTGTTTTGTATTTTTCCTGTTGGTTGTTCTTTCAAGAAGTATCTTCTGTTCTTCTAGCTGCGCCAGGTTGCTCTGCTTGTCCTTTCAAGTGGAAATTTCCATCCTCTGAAGATTCTGGATGTTGTTCAGGATTCCACCTATGGTCTTATGTAATGCACAGGCTCTGAAGGAAGCCTCCTTCACTGAGCATGTTGTAGCCCCATTTTAGGTGTTGCAATCAGTTATAGGCAAAACATGGACTTACAAGCTTTCTATGGTGAGATTTCTGGCTATTCCTTTCTCTCCCCTTCAAGTGTCTATTTTACAATGGTATGCCAGGGAAAATAAGATTCATAAGACAGCCTAGCATCTTAACCTTATTTCCCCCTTTTTCCCCATTCCAACCATGTCTCAATCTCTGTATCCCAGATCCCTATTGTTCCAAGGTTGTGCATACATCTTTATTTACCTCTGTCCCACTTAGTCCTTACAAGCCTGCCTAATTGTTCTCCTATCCGCTTTGTTCTTCCATTCCCCTCTCCCTTCTTGTATATTGCCCCCCTCCCTATCACCTAAACTATCCTGTGTCTATTCCCTACCCAGTGCTCCACCTTCCCCTCCCTCTTCTCACACACCCCCACATCCCAGCAACCAACAAAGAATCTACCCCCTTTAGTATGGGTTCTTTGTCTTAGTCTTTTACTGTAGTGGTCCTACGCAGTATTTCTCCTTTTGTGACTAATTTCACTCAACATAATGTCCTCAAGGTTCATCCATGTTATGTGGTGGCTGGCAGCTTCCTTGTTATTCTTTAAGGTAACATAATATTCCTTTGTGTGTATGTACCACAGTTTTTTTATCCATTCTTCAGTTGATGGGCACTTTGGCTTTCTCCGTCTTTTTGCTATTGTAAATAGTGCTGCTATGAACATTGGTGCGTATATATCTACTCATGTTATGGCTCGTATTTCTTGTGGGTAAATACCAAGTAGAGGAATTGCTGGATCATAAGGTATTTCTATTTCCAACCTTCTGAGGAAGCACCATATTGCTTTCCAGAGAGGTTGGACCATTTTGCAGTCCCACTAGCAATGTAAGAGTATCCCAGTCTCTCCACATCCCCGCCAGCATTTATTGTCCTCTATTTTTTTATCTTTCTTTGATGCTGTTGCTGGTGTGAGATGATATCTCATTGTTGTTTTGATTTGCATCTCTCTAAGGAGCTCTGGTAGCATAGTGGTTACGAATCGGGCTGTGAACCTCAAGGTCAGCAGTTCGAAACTACCAGCAGTTCCATGGGAGAAAGATGAGGCAGTCTGTTCCCGTAAAGATTTACAGCCTCGGAAACCCTGTGTAGGGGGTCGCTATGAGTTGGAACCGACTCCACGGCACATAACAACAACAACAACAATGGCTAGTGATCATGAACATTTCTTCATGTGTTTATTGGCTGCCTGGATCTCCTCCTTGGTGAAGTGTCTGTTCATGTCCTGTGCCCATTTTTTAATTGGGTTATTTGTCTTTTTCTTGTAGAGGTGTTGTAGTTTCCTAGATATTTAAGAAATGAGTCCCTTGTCTGATGTGTCATTGCAAAATATTTTTTCCCGTTCTGTGGGTTCCCTTTTTACTCTTCTGGTGAAGTCTTTTGATGCACATAAATTTTTAATTTTCAGTATGTCCCACTCATCTATTTTGTCTACTTTTGTTTGTGTAATTTTCAAACTGTTTGGTAGTCTGTGTATTCCCTGAATTAGTGCCCTCACATTTGTCCCTATTTTTTCATTGATGGCCTTCAATGATGGCCTTGGGATTCACATTTAGGTCTTTAATCCATGTTGAGCTGGTTTTTGTATAAGGCATGAGATGAAAGTCTTGTTTCAATCTTTTGCACATCGCTTTCCAGTTCTGCCAGCACCATCTGTTGAATAGACTATCACTTCCCCATGTGATATATTTAGATATTTTGTCAAAAATCAGTTGGCTGTATGTAGATGGATTCATTTCTAGATTCTCGATTCTTTTCCATTGATCTATGTATCTTTCATTGTACCAGTACCAAGCTGTTTTGACCACTGTAGCTGTTTAGTAAATTATGAAGTGGGGAGTGAGAGGCCTCCACCCTTATTCTTCTTCTTAAGCAGTGCTTTGCTTATCCTGGGTCTCTTTCCTTTCCATATAAAGTTTGTAATTGTTTTTTCCATCTCTTTGAAGAATGCTGTTAGAATCTGGATTGGGATTGCATTATATGTGTAAACTGCTTGGGGCAGTATTGACATTTTCACAATGTTAAGTCTTCCTATCCAGAAGCATGGTACATTCTTCCCATTTTTATAGGTCTCTTTTGGTTTCTTGTAGTAGTGTTTTGTAGTTTTCTTTGTATAAGTCCTTTGTGTCTCTGGTTACATTTATTCCTAGATATTTTATCCTTTGGGTGGCTATTGTAAATGGTATTGCTTTCCTAATGTCCATTTCAATGCTGTCATTATTGGTGTAGAGGAATCCAAATGAGTTTTCGTATGTTGATCTTATATCCTGCTACATTGTTGAATCTTCCTATAAGTTCTAGTAGCTTTTTTACTGAGTCTTTGGGCTTTTCTATGTATAGGATCATATTGTCTGCAAATAGAGAGAGTTTTACTTCCTCTTTGCCTATTTGTATGCCTTTAGTTTCTCCATCTTGCTGAATAGCTCTGGCTAAGACTTCCAGCACAATATTGAATAGGAGTGGTGACAAAGTGCATCGTTGTCTGGTTCCCATTCGCAGAGGGAAGGCTTTCAGTTTCTCTCCATTGAGAGTAATGTAGGCTGTTGGTTTTGTATATATACTCTTAATTATGTTGAGGAATTTCCCTTCAATTCCTACTCTGTTGAGTATTTTTATCAGGAATAGATGTTGGATTTTGTCAAATGCCTTTTCTGCATCAATCGATATGATCATGTGGTTCTTTTCTTTTTTCTTATTTATACGGTGGATAACATCGTTTTTCTAATGTTGAACCATCCTTGCATTCCTTATATGAATCCCACTTGATCATGAT